CCCCCTCCCTCCAATGACCAAATGTGTGCAAGTGTGAAATTTTTGCATCAAAAAGAAAATTTTGAAAAAAAACTGTCTCGATAAATTAAGAACTAATACCAAATCGTCGAATTTCGTCTCACAAACTTTATAAGTTTAGGATAAAGTAATGATGATACTTCTTGATATAAACCAAAGAATATATTTGCGCTTAAAATATCAACACTATGGGGCGATGATGGATGATTAGTTTGTTCTCAGTACAAAATAAAGACATCCACGAAGATTTCAAAATTAAAAAAAAAAAAATAGGCATCGCTTCCAGCGTTTGTAAAAATTTAATTTTTGTTTTTAAATCACAAAAGTTCGACAGAAACTTGACTTTGCCCAGCAATAACTCAGTGAGTTTAGGAATTTATGTCAATAGATTTCATGTCAAGTTATTTTTAAATTAAAATTTGTTCAAACCCTCTAAAAATTGAAATGAAAGATCTGGCATCCTTCGCCTATTATTATTTTTATTTTGCTTTGCTGTTCGTTCTCGTCCCAATGAAACATAAAAGAGTGCATATTTCATACATCGTTTTTAAGGAAGATTTTCTGAATTTGGGGAGGTTGCAGGAGGATTTTGGTCCCGTCTACTATAAGGGATTAGCTATTTATCCTTATTTATTTCACGTCAATAAACGAATGACAACTATACATTGATTTATTCAGCCATTTATAACAACTTTAATTGCTCTCGTAATTTAGAAGCATTCGTAGAATTTTCTGAAAATGTCCTCTTATTTATATGGAAATGGAGAATGTGATATTTTAATTGCTATTTGGGCTGAAAAACTACTCTCCAAAGGCAATAGGACGAATGCTCGTATGTATGTAAACCACGTACATATGCATAATTTACATATGCTCCACAGCACTTTTGTGGTTGTTGCTATTTTATGTACCAATGTTTGCATATTTTAGCAAATATTGCACAGAAAATAAAATTAAATTTGAACGCACATGATGTATGTATGCATGTAGATATACATATACATATGTATGTATTGTTTGTTGATAAACAGTATGTAGTTCTGTGACAGTTAATGAATATATATATGTACATAGGTACACTAGGATGCCTCATGTAAAACATTGCTGCAGTGGGATTCTTACAATCGCTATGCAAAACTTTCGTCGCCAAAATCCTCTAAATGAAAAAAGCGTGACCTAAAAGTATACAACATGAAAAAGTAACAGATGTAATGTGTAATCACACATATCTCGAAGTATAAGGGACGTGTACTGGGTGTTGCATATTGTTAGGCGCGCAAGCTATTCTTTTCGAGATTTTCGGCGAACAAAATAAGCGATAGCGATTTTCAGAATCCCACTGCTGAATTCCTAAGCAAATCATAATAAGTTTTTTTTTTTTGTTAATTAATAAAATTTACTAATCGATCTCATTGATAATAAGGTATTAAATAGACCTCTTAAAATAAAGTTTTTAATAAAAGCAACAGAGGCATATGTCTAGTTCTAAGTAAATATTTTTTCAGTAAATATCCTTGATGAGGGATGGAATGTGCTCGTAATGTATGTACATACATAGCAGAGATGGACGCGGAACTAAATATTCAAACCCGATACCGTCATTAAATTTTTAGGTCTTGAGCCCGCCCATCACAACATTTTTTCAGATTGGCTAAAAAAAAATAAAAATAAAAAATCAAAATTAATTTTAAATAACATAATTGAATATTTTGTTCCCGAATATCCTACTTTCATCATACTGAAAGATCTAGAATCTTCTGGTTATTCTATTTTGCTTACAGTTCATTTTCGCCTCTGTATAGCATTAATTTCATATAACGTTTTGAGAAAAAAATTTGGAATTTCATTAATTTCATATAACGTTTTGAGAAAAAAATTTGGAATTTCGGCAAGATGCAGGCTTTATCCTGAGTGTCGGAATAGGATTTGTAATGTTTTGAGTGTGTGACCCAGTCTGAACCCTTACGTGGTTAACGTTATTACTTAGTTAAAAAGCGCAAAAAATCGCCAAATATTATCAAAATTATTTTAAAATGATTTTCTTGAAAAAACAACAATTCAGGAACTTCTATGCGTTCTGTTCTATCTTGTTTCCAAATAAACCTTAATTTTTTCTAGTTTAGAAAAACGAGTTACTTGGTTCTTTTCTATTACACTACATATATGAACTTGCTTTTGCAGCCTGTGAATTAAGAGCGAAATACACCGCACAAGCGGCTTGTCAAACATACTTTTCCCATTTTGCCATAGACCATGCAAACATGAGTCGTTCAAGCACAGAATTTTAGTTTTCTTTCGGTTAACAATGTAAAACATTTTAGTTTTCTACCATTATTCTCCCTTACGTCTTCACTTGGTGAAATTTCAGTTGCAATTGAGGCGATTTTACCATCCACATCTCAAGCGGTTTGATCAAACGTCAACATGGCGGCCAGAAAATCAAAAAAATTTGATTTTTGCTCAAATTTCCCTCAAGCGGTTTGTCAAACCTTCAAACACCCCATAGACAGCACAAATGGCTTGAAGCAAAGGGAAATTTTGCTTGGTTTGTCAAGCCGCTTGTGTTGTGTATTTCGCTCTTTACTCTGTTCCCTTACAGCTGCAAGTTTTAAGTTTCTAAAGAGTTGTGTTTTGGCAATTTTTTAACGCATTTTCTTCCAAAATTTCGGAAATTTTTTTGCACGGAAAAAAAAATGCGTAATACAGTCTGATTAAAAAGTTGAAAATTTAGAAAGGTATGCTGCAGGTGCGATTAGAAATATTTTTACGAAAAATGGATTCACTAGTGGCGTTAGTGTTCTTATTACTAATCCTATTTAGATGAAATTAACTATAGTGAAATCCAACAGCTATTTTTGAGAGATATTCCATTGAAAATTATGTTAAACAAGTAAGAAAGTCTAAGTTCGGGCGGAGCCGAACATTAAATACCCGGCGCAAGTATTAAATATATGGTTTTTCACCTTTCCGAAAGCTACCGCTACAGCATAAGCCGGAGTGTATAAATTTTAAGTAAATAAGCGTCCTTAAATTTCGAAATATTGAAATTTCAAGCATTTCTGAAATTTACCGTTATATGAAAAGCGGCCTCAATTTTAGTCCGATTTCAACAATTTTCAACGGTTTGCTTTTATGTGGCAAGCACAATAACCATACCGAGCTTGGTACAAATATATGATCACAAGTGGGCGGTGCCATTTTCCAAAATTTTGTCATAAACGTATTTCATGGTAAAGAATTGTTGCAACCAACAATTTTGAATAAATTAGCTTCAATATTTACTGGCGCAGTTTTCGTATTTCTGAAAATTACCGTTATATGGGAGGTAGGCGTGGTTATTGTCCGATTTCGCCCATTTTCAATACCATCCGTCCTACGCCCAAAAGAAGTTCACGTACCAAGTTTCGTTAAGATATCTCAATTTTTACTCGAGTTATCGTGTGCACAGACGGACGGACGGACGGACGGACGGACAGACAGTCACCGCTTAATCGATTTCTCTTTTCATTCTGATCATTTATGTATACATTTGTCTATATCTATCTCGATTCGTTTTGCCTGTTACAAACAACCGTTATGTGAACAAAGTTATAATACCCTTGTGCACAAGTGCGCTCGGGTATAAAAATTGCTACTAACTTTAAAGACGACTTAATCTTAACTACGACTGTGGGACACTGGACATACGTATGTGAGTCGGTTATGTATATCTAAGTATGTATGTATGTGTGCTTTGTATATTTGTAGTTATGTTCAGTAATTTGTGTATTCAAATATCCATATTTTCGAATATTTTTTAAAATTTGTATTGTGGTAACTTCTCCTGTTAATTGTTTCATTTTAAGATTTCATTGTTGTTCTTGTATAAATTAAAAATATTTGTATATTAATGTATATTTGCATGTATAGTCTTTCAGTTCATTTCCATCTCCTTCTGTAACTCCCCTTCACACCATAGATTAAAACACTGTGCACGCAGTCTGCCGTTTTCTCCTTAACTATCTATTTTGTGTGTTCGTGTTACTTCCGGTTTTGGTTTTCAGTTATCACTGTACAAAATAATAATGAAACTTAAATGGTCTAAAGATTTTTTTTGTTTTTGTTTTTACTTCTCTCTGTACTAGTTAAGTGAGTGAAATTTTTTCAAAGAATTCACAAATCACTAACTCTAAATTTTCTATCTACTTTTTTTTCATTTCTTTCTACTTTTTAGCTTGAAGCTAACAAACAAAAATATAAAACGCAAGAACAAGCCGTAGTTGAAAAGCTTAAGCTGAAAAATAAACACAAAACACGGAACTAATTCGAAAAACACACACAAACACAAGCACACAAATGCACAAATACACAGAAAATTAGAGTTTTGTAAAAGTACACTGTTTTTAGTAGTGAGATTTTGATTTTTAGTAAAAAAAAAAACCTAACAACAAAACCTGGAAACAGAAACTGTTGTACGCAATTTTAAATAACAACTGAACAAATTGTAGCATACTTTTAGGCACACAACCCATATTTGTAACTATAAGTTAAACCAAGCAACACTATCGCGCATAAAAATCACCTTCATTTAGTAAAAAATATAACTACAAAACCATTTTACACGAAACGCACACGCAATCTACCCAGACTACCCATAAAGCTCAGCTTTTCGCAACTTCTTATTTGAGAAACGCACAAAAATTAATTTCAAAACTAATAAAGTGCACCAAAGCCATACACCAACACCATCCACACCGCCGACAAACGACCATACCGATCTATACTTTCTACATCACCAACCGAACCACCAACCACCACACAGAGACCGCGAAGCACTGCAACACATTTCCAAAAAAAGTACAAAAGCGAAAATAACCGAAGCGACAGATACTTCTGCGAAACCCGCAACCACAACTACAGCAACAATAACAGCGACCACCGGACTCAAAAATATGAGCCTCAATAAAATCAAAAAACGCGACACAGACTTATGACTGGTAAAGACACGGGTCGGTTCGGCCAGTTTGGGCGGCGGCGGCGGCGGCACTGGCAGTCGCTACAAAGTGACCGCACGCTGCGTGCCAGAAGTAAGCATAACCTCACCGACCAACGGGCATTATCATGAATTACAGGCACCATCGACGACATCATCCGCTTCACCATCGTCCACGTCAACGCCATCGCCATCGCCATCGCCACAACCACCAGCAGTCACATCGCATGCGCATTCGCAACAGCTCGCCAATCATCACTCATCCGAACAGCTGCCATTAAAAAATCCAACAGCACAACAGTCACAATCAGAAAATCAACTTCAGTCGCATCCACAGTCACATCACAAACAACAACAACAACAACAACAACATAATAATAAACAACATCATAAGAAATCGAAAAGCAAGCAAAGTAGCGACAGCAACAGTCACTGCTATAGCAACTACAACTACAACATCAACAGCATTAATAATAGCAACAGCCACAGCCATAGCCAACCTAACCACAATAGTAGTAACAGTAACAGTAACAGTAAATCTTATCTGCTGCGCAGTAAACACACTAACAACATTTATTCGTCAGGAGCCACACTGGTCGAGGAAGAGGACTTCAATGAATTAACAGCGGTACCTACAGCGACAATTGTGATAGCGACAAACGTCAACGGTAAAGTGCGCGTGAGTCCACAAATAAGCGGCAACGTCTCAAGTTCCGATACTGGCGTGGTCACCAGCAAGAGAACGGGTCGTCATCTGCCAGCGCCTTTAAAGCTGACCACCATCACACGCCCAGGTCCGTCGTCAACGAAAAATGCGCTAAAACGCCAACAGGCGACCCAGCAGCAACAGCAGAAGCAGACGAGCCCCACATCAGCCTCAGTAAAATTGACGGCCCAAGCCAGCGAAGAGAGCCAACTCACTGAACTGACGCCTTTGGTAGACACCGACGATAAAACACTAAGTCACAGCCCAGTAACGCCCACATTCTCTTCGAATACGAACACCGCCAGCTCAACACAGCGTTCGAATAGCACAGCGATCGCCGCTTCTGTATCGCCGACTAGTATTGGTGTGGCCGCAACAACACAGTTTGGTGGCGGCTTAACGCCCGCCACGTCCGCAGCAAGCATTAACGCCACAATCGGCGCAGCGAATTCGCCAAACGTTTACGGTCAACAGTCCAGCGTACCGGCCGCGCCAACGGCGCCTCCACCTACAGTGGTTGCCGCAGCTGCAGCTGCTGCCGCCGCCGCCACCACCACAACCTATAGTCACAATTCGAAGACCACCCGCTCCTGGCCGGTGATCTATCGCAATCCACATCACTACGACTACGAAGCGCTCTACGTACAGGCCAACAGCGGCAGCGGTAAATCTACAACCGGCAGCAATCATCACTACCACCACCAGCCGCCAAGCCATTATCAAACTGGTAGCAGCGCTTTTAAACAAAATTGCTACTCAAATCAATTTGCGCAATCGATATTATATACGTCCAGTAATGAGGACTTGAGCGCAATCAATGAGCACGGCAGTAGCGGGGGCGGACTCAATGGTGTGGCTTGCGGTGCGTCCGGTGGCAGCGGCACCTTCGGCATTGGCAACGGCCACAGTAATCACCAAAACAAATCAACAAATAGCAATACACAAACGACGTGCTACTACTTCGCGCCCAGTCGGCACAACAGCATTTATGAACACCCCTCGGCGGTGGTACAAAACTCGTTTCACTTCGATCCAACGGCGGCAACAAGTGCAGCCGCAGCAGCGGCTGTTGAGAGTTTGAGACGCAGCAATAGCATTCTGTTGCGAAATAGTAGCTGCGCCAAGGCGCTGAACCAAAGTGGTGGTGGCGGCGGCCTTATCGATGGCTCAGCTGGTGGCCTGGGCACGCCAACGTCACTGAATTCAGCTATGGATATGGGCAGTGGCACAGACGCTTCGTCTTGTTGCTCTAACTGCTGCGTCGGCCCACCGCCGGTGCTATTTCTGTTCGTAACACTGTTGATGACCACCAGTGCGACAGCTATGCTCTGCGCCGCCATTATGACTGATCATTGGGAACATGTGACGTGGGATCGCAATAGCTTGGATAGATATATGAATCGTTCAGGCATGCAGTTAGAGTGGATGTTGGACGACAAGGTGGCAATGTTAAAGCCGGACAAGAAAAGTAAGTGTAAAAGTGAAGCTTTACAGGGTTAAAGGCGATGTCAACTAGTCTACACTATTAAGCAAATGTAAGTGATGCAGTGAAGAAATTTTTTAAGAGTACTAACAAATGTTCAGCTGGGGAAGATAAAGCTTTTAAATCTTATGGCATCTTCATTCACTACAGTTTTAGCAACAAACCAATTGGACCTTGAAGCTATAGCTCTCGCATTCACTCCCTCACGTGTGGAGGGGACGGAATACTTATGAACGATCTTCAGGGAAAAAGGTCTGTAACAGCTGAGCTATAAGACCCGCCTTCAATTATCTGATTTTATTCCACTTCTGAAAATTAGTTATTTGTTACAACCTTTTTGATCGGATTCCCAATGCTACTGGAAGCGTTATACTTTTATGTTCCCCAGAAAGTTCAACATCGCCTTCAGAAGTAGTGGGTGGATGTGGCCACATTGAACCTAGACTTCTCTCTTGTCTTCTGCAAACTACATCACACTCGGTGAGAATGTTACGTGGTGTCTCACTGGTCGAGTCGCAGAACTAGCACGGATCATTTTACCATGTCCCCAGCTTATGTAGATGTCCGCTTAGTCTGCAGTGCCCTCTAAGGATACCTGTTACAATTCTAAGCCTATGTTTTGGGAGATTAACCAAGCTTTGGAATCTCTTTTTGTTAAACTTTCCCAGTAAACTCTTTGCCTGACGCATCGCTCCTGAGCCATGCAAATGTATATCTCTCTGTGTGTTCCTCTCCCTCCAAAGCTCAACCTTTATGAAGTCGGGAAGTACTCTCAGCAAGGGCTCGGGCCAACTGTATTAATGGCTGTCGCCTTTCTTGTGAGACAGTCCGTGGCCTCGTTACCCCCTATGCCGCCTCGTACCCACGCTAACTTGATGTTATTGTGTCTGCCAAGGGAGTTGAGCGTTGACTTCATAAGATAGGAGAACCTGGGGTGTCACCTGGCGGTCGCTCCGAATTATGATTGTCTCGTTTATGTACGCTCTATTCATGATTTTCTCCGCACAAAGATATATGGCGTACACTTCTGCCTGAAAGATGCTCGGATATTTTGCGATATGAACAGGGATCCTATTACCTCTGGGGCCTTCCAGTCATCTATGTACTAATGCAGCGTGCCACCCAGAAGTAGTAGTTCTTTTGGCGGGGCTCAAGCTCGAGGGCTACTTCCAGCGCCGTCGCCAGTTCAGTTTTGGCTGGGTCTATGCTAAGCCCTAACTTGGCACACCAACAACCTTTGTTAATCTTAACCTTTTTGGATGATGTCACAAAGAGTGCTCTCAACCAACCCTCTGACAATGATCACTATGTCGTCCGCATAGTCTTGGTAGCGGATACCTTTGGTGGGTGATAGGACCCTGCCAGAGGGCAGAACTTTTTAGTTTGTGGTTGTACCCCGCTTGGTTTCAGCAATTGTAGTATGCAGCAGCGCATCTGCATATTCATTTTCTCAGGATTCTTTATGTATTTACTTATTTTAATAAAATGCACCATTCTTATCACACTGCCTAAAAAAATTCTGATTTTAATATTTATCTTTCTACACATTTACAGTGGAATATCGCTTTCGGCGAGACACCGTTTTTCTGGTACCCATGCACGGTGGCATTTGGACCCTTTGCATAGACTTGCCGATGCCAGAATTACAAGAACTGCGACGACATCCAAAATTTCCACGCGGCGCACCACCTTGCGTCAACTATCTGGCCGGCTCGATGGAGAATGCTCGTGGCGAAGAGCAGCGAAACGATTGGCAACATAGTGAGTCCCAGACCTCATTGCAGCCCCATTTAAGTACGTATGGTACAATCTATGTGTATTCCAACAGAAAGCAAACAAAAAAAAAAAAACACACCAAAAAACACAAATAGATTTTAAAATTTTTTCAAAATTATAATTTGCGTAAAGAAAAAATTCGTTATCAATTGGCATTACACACTCACACTGCATTCTATCACTAAATGCAATTTCTACTATGTGCAATCAATTAAAGAGAAAAGAAACTTTACTTTCATATGTACATATCGAATGCTAGATTCAACTACCGTACTATCTTTAGTATCTTCTAGGCAGCAACTTAACTACTCGTAGCTACATAAATATTTAACGTATTGCATAGTTGAATCTTCTGAACCACATAACAGATAGTTAATTGTATAGCAATGTTCTACCATTCATCAAATGCATATGTAGTCAATTTATTTGTTGTAGTTTGCCCAAGCATTGCAGCTAGTATTGTTGACCCGCCTTCAATTATCTGATTTTATTCCACTTCTGAAAATTAGTTATTTGTTAGATACCGTTAGATTACTTCAGTATGATGCTTTTCAAAACAGTAGTAAAGTAAGCAAATCGAATAGAAAAATACTGCAAAATATAATACTATGTATGTATATAGGGTTCCTAGACCACCCGTCTACCCCATCCAAAATGGGGGAAAATGATTTTTATTGAAAAACGCAGAGATAAGATCTACCAAATTAGGGATGCTCTATTTTTAGTGTTAGTATTACCGACTTCCAGTTTCGTCTGGAAGCGGGTTAAATATACCGGAAATTCATTATCTTAACCGGAAGTCCTTTCCAGAAAAGTTTCCCACCAAACATATTTATTTTTGTTCGCAGAGTCCGAATCTGTGGTAAAAATATGTATTTCCTACTTAAAAAATTAACTTCCGTCCAGTTTAATCCACATTCGGTCGAAACCGGAAGTCGTTAATAGAACAAAATATAGAGCGTCCCCGACCTGGCGATTTATATTTTTTTGTTTTCCAAAAAAAACATGTTCATCCATTCCGAAATCCAGATAATTTAGAGTTCCGCATGCGAATCTGTAGTAAAAAGATGTATGTCTAATTAAAAAAAAAAAAAATGGACTTCCGGCCTGTTTAATCCAATTCCGGTCGGTAGTACCACCAAAAGAAGAGCATCCCTGATCTGATTGCTCATATTTTTGCGTTTTTTTTTTTCAATAAAAAAACATTTCCCCCCATTTTAGAGGGGTTGGAGGGTGGTCTAGAACACTCTCTATATACATTTATGTCAATAGGATAAAAGTAAACCCAGAATATTTCTATCGACCTCGCAATTCGCTTTTGAGTGCACGAAGATATCGAAACTTTTACGAGCCAGTGGGGAAGGTCTGCCCGAGCTGTTTGAAACCATAAATCAGGAAATTACTGACGTACGCATATCACTCTGGCAACCATTATTATTACTGATTACCGGAACGTCATCACCATACAGATAAGTTAGAGTCTGAACCTCCGCCGATCATGCGACAAGATGGTTCTCGTCGCGCAGCTCTTCCAGGACGTCCTGGATGTGTCCCCTTGCAAATCGAACGAAACGGTGGATCGTGATCTCTGCAGTCCCCGATGCTGTTTAATCTGTATATGAATAAATTCCCTCGCCGTCAGCTGTGGTTTACCTTATTCGCTCGCGCCGACGGATGGTATATCATGCCGATGGATCAAAAGATCGACGGCCTGCGCGAGATAACTATCTCTTCCGACTCCGCTACATTCTTCAATGGTAGGAACCTACAAATTTCAGTGTAGACGGCAGAAACCAGTTCTCATTGGGGACATTTAGAAATTTCAGCACCACCTACTGATCCAGACTGGCATTGAAAAAGCAGCTTTGGAACGAGTTCATTTTGGAATGGCATCGTGGTGAGCATCCCAAAAACGCACTATTTTGTAACGAATTGCCACCCAGGCATGTATGAAGTCACTACTCGACTAGAAGGAGACGTACGTAGACCCTCCATCTTCGAAGAAGCGGTACGGCAGAGCATTGAGCGAAGTAGAATTAGGCAAGAGGCACGTTGCACCTTCGCGCAGAGACTTTCGGGTTAGGGCTTCCGGGTCAACAGTTACTTCTCGCGTACCCACAAGTGCACTTGATACCTTTTTGCATGCCAATCTAACTCGACGATTCGAACACCCGAAGTGATTTTCGCAGGACTGCTTCAAAACCAACTTAACACCATTAAGGGACTTCTGCAAAGACCAAAACACTTGATAATTTGAGCGTGAAGGATTCGGGATATATGGTGGAGGCATCATCAGAACTTCACAACCAAGATTACTCCGCTTGCTTGGCCATGTCGTTCGAACGGACAATGACGCTGGAGTTCTGAAAGTATTTAACGCGGAACCCGCTGGTGCTAGCAGAGAAAAGACCAAGTGAAAAAGGAATTGGCACAGAAGAGAGCCGACTGGCGAGCTTTATTAATTTCTACCAAAATCGCTCAGGGGGTTACAGGGCTAAATAAGTAGAAGACAGCAAAGAGGCAATTCGGGCTCTAGCACCGCTCATGGAACGATCCTAACTGACTGGCTAATACGTTGGCTAGGCAGATCACCCTTGAGGTCATTTCTCCTCACAGGGAGGGTAAAAAGATTCCTGTGTCAATCTGTGGACTGCTCTTGGACCGATGAGCCAACTATAAGCTCAACGAGCCGTTACCGTTTCAGAAATAATCTAAGAAACGCCTTATTGAGCCCCTGACCTGGCAGTCACCTAATATGGCCCTTACTATTAACAGCAAAGGAACGGAATTTTAAAGCTGATAGCGTTGTGTTCTTCATTTCAAAAGCGCACACCCCGAATCATTGTACTTTTTCTTAAGAGGTTGTACGATGGCCACTTAAACTCAAGCGACTTCCCCAATATTTGAAGGTGTTTTTTTTTTCATAGGACTTCTTATTTCCTTAATTAGCAGTTGGTACATTAAAGTGTTAAAAGTTGGATCTAAAAGTTTCGATTTATTAGCAGAACCCACCATAGCCCCAAAGAAAAGTTTTCATGATTCATTTTGAATATAAATTTAAAAGTTTGTATTGTCCAACTTAAAACTACAGCTCATTTTTTATAGAGCAGCGGTACAGAGATATCTTCAAATCGAACTTTTAAGTAAAAAAAAACACAATACAAACATTAGCATGAACTATTATTAATAAGTTATGTACGTAGATATATGTATAAATATATATTATTAATGCATACGTTTACAACTAGTTGCTATTAAGAGAATATAAACGAAAAATCGCTACTGGCAGTAGAAAATTTAAATTTAAATTCAAAGAAAATTTTAGAGAAGTAAAAAAGGCAATTCAATTTTTAACTGCAAGTCATGCCGACCAAAATAGTGCAGCTGCAAAAATAATATGAAAACTCTGTGTGTAGGTAAATGTGTATGTAGTTGTACGGTTAAATTACAATGCAAGGACAGAAAGTGCGGCAGCCAGTTGAGAATAGATGGAGAAATGAAAGATAAAATTATTCACTTTGGCTACTCAAATATGCATTAAAAAGTGGAAAGACCGATAAAACTGCTGCATCAATTTAAAACTACCAAACAATGCACCGACACAAAAGGCTTAAGCGTTTTCTTGAGCAAGCAAAAAAATGTATTATTTTGACCGTATGAAGGAATTTGTTTTATTATTTGTTAGTTTTTTGTTTCCCTACACTTTTGTTTGCATATGTAACTGAATTAATAAATATGAACGGAATGCAGCAGCAATTTACATACACTAAAGCTTGCGCTCGCTAATCAAAAGATACAAACAAAAATACGAAAGAAGTTCAAGTGGCGCGAAGGAATTAAACAGCTGGCCGTTTGGCTGGTGATGCCGCCGCTTCAGCCTCCGAACTCTGCTCATCGGGCTTCTTGCGCTTAATCAAATGTGAAATGTCTGTAGGCTTAGCTGCTGAACTGGAGGAAGATGCGCCCGCTGCCGACGTCGATGACGACGACGAGGGTCCAGCGGCATCCTTTTGCTCCGAGTTGATGGGTTTAATGTAACTGTCCAATGCAGCGCGCACCTCAGCTATGTTCTGCATTAAAAAAAAAAAAGAGAAGCAAATAAATAATCGTTAAGCGCATGACCAGCATTTACACTTTTACCTGCGCTTGTGTGTCTTCAATTTCGGCGATTTTAGCCCAAATTTCTTGTTTTGTCTCCTCCATATCTTGTATGTTGTTCTTCTGCTTTTCGCTGAGCTCCTCCTCGTTAGCTTCCAGCTCTTTTATTTCGGCATCAATCAAAGTGCAGGCATCCTTTAGCGATTCAGCACCTTCTTTATTCAGCTGCTGCATCAGATATGTAAGACCAATTTTGTAGTGTATTTCTGCCATCGCGCGACGATAATTTGTAGGCAATTCACTGTAAATTTTTAGTGCCTTCACTGTATATGTATGTATGTATGTGGATAGATGAGAAAAGAATTTTTAGTTTATTTTCGAATACTTTGCGAAAATACAAAAATAAATATATGTGAAGCTGTTGAATTTTTTTCATTTACCGTAATCCTCACGTGCCGCCTCGGGCAAGTTGTTCTCAAATTCGATATTAGCTAACTCTGTTTGCACCTCAGCAAGGTTGGGTAGACCGCTTGTACCTTGGCGTATGAATATTTTGGCAGCCAACTCAAGGATTTCCCAGGCCAATTGCAGATTCGAAGCCTACGGGTTACGCGTGAAGCAAAAAAAAAAGAAATAGTTAATGAGTTTAAATTGAGACAAGTGTAACAAAAGGGCTGATAGCCGCCTGAAGCAATCACTTTGAAAACTACACAGTGGAGGAGACAATATTTAATTTTCAAAATTAATTGCTTGTTGCAATATTTAAAGCGGATACGATTACCTTATTTAAAATTTAACCCTAATAAGAGTATTTTATTATTTTTACTTTCGTTGTATTTTTTTAATTTTATTTATAGTGATTATATTTTTCTCATTTCTAACTGCCTATTTTGTCCCCAAGTGCGTATGTTCGTTCACTCATTGCCTAAGTTGGTAAAATGGAATAGGCCCCTCTAGCAGATGTGGCATAATACACCCGCTATCAACACCCCCGCTGCTGCACCGCCGGACACCTACATAACTAAGTACAAACACTCTTTGTTTGAGTCAATTCCCAAATTCAATTCAGTTCAATTGCATTTGAGGCGCACAAAACACGTACTTATATTAAAATGAAATTAGCTTCAAGTACAACTCACCGCTTCATTCTCTTCCTCATCGTCCTCTTCGCCGGCATCTGCATCGCCATTCGAAGTGCTTGGCTTTTCGCCATCCAGAACAGGTGCGGCAACAACTGGGGTGGCCGACTTGCCATTGGCTGCCCCCTTTGAGGCTTTCTCCTCCTTCTGCTTTTCCTTCTCCTCCACATCAGCAGCACCACCATTAGCATCATCAGTGCTACTTACTTGCCCATCTTCGACAGGCTTTTCAACAGCAGGCGATTTTTTTGCTTCAGCAGGCTTCACTATCTCACCGCCCGTTGAGTCTGCCACATCATCATTCTCTTTGATGTCATCCAGCTTGACTTTTGCTGCTGCGCCATTTGAACTTGCTGCCACCGCACCATTACTGCCTTCCGCTGCTGCTTCATCGTCATCACCCTCAACGCCATCTTCGTCATCATCCTCGAGTTCTTCTTCGTCGGGCACATCGATGACTTTGTTTTCATCCAAAGCCAAGGCAATCAATGATTTGGCATAGCTACAATGGAAAGAAAGTGGAGTGAAATGAAATTTAGTATAGAGGCAGTGCACATAGAAACGAAAGTGTGCTTACAGCAAGTATGGCATGCCCAATTCATCTGACTGCTCGCCGTACAATTCTTCATACAAGGCGCAAACTTGACTCAGCTCATCTGCTGCCTCAACATAGCTCTTTACAAGAAAATTACGCGAACCATGACTGTACAACTCCTTGGCGTTGAGAATTTTTTCGGCGCGCTCCTGCTCGACAATTAAATCTGTGGTAATGGCAGCATCCGCTACAACCGACGATTCACTTGCTTCTGTGACTTTGACGCCATCGGTGGCTACAACAGGAATTTGCTCCTCTGCAGACATTTTGTAACAATATTACTATTTGCCTTTAGAACTTGAAGTGATTTGTGTGGGATAAAACTAAAAGAAGAGATATAAAAACAGATTTGGTGTGATTGAGATGCAAAGGATTTTTTTTTAGATCGAAGTCAGTATTTTAGTTAGGTTGGGAATAGACAATCGGCTGCATATGCATTTTGGAGAAATACGTAAGAACAGTTAATTCTTTTGGATGCGTGCATCAGGTTCAACAATTCAAATGCAATATTCTAGAAAGCCAACAACTCAAGATTCTTCTTGCCACGTAGGTTGTACCTGCAACTCTTTTAAACAACTTTTTCTATATAACTAAAGCTTAATACATACATACTTACCTTTGCTTGTATAAGTAGTTATGCATGATTTGATATAGATATAGAAAACAAACATACACACACATAGCACAACAATATTATATAAGCACACTTTAATACACATCTTTTGCGAGATCAAATCATGCTTAACAGTTTCATAAATATCCGAGTTAAGTCCAATTTAGAATAATTAAAAAAAATAGAACATTAACCATTATATCCTCACAATATTAAATAAGCCGCATTCCAATATACATTCATTCATTTTCAAACCGGACGCTTAACTAAATTTTACATCCCTGATTTGCTTCAAAATTTGTTAATACATCGGTTCTTAAAACTGAAGTATTATGGGGGAGAATATAACGGTTAAATATCAAGATTTATATTTCTAGATCATTGCGAAATCGTTGTCTTTTGATTTTTATTTTTTTGTGAAATTTTCGATCATATTTCACTGATTTAAATCTTTTATGCTCTAAAACATTAACACCCAAATTCTTAAAAAAATAAAGAAGACTTTAACTCTTTTATAAATCGAAAATTTGTATGAAAATGTCACTTTATAAAGCTTTTTAAACCCATTTTATTTTTCTCATTTTCATTGTTGGTGTTTCCGACAGGGTAGGAGTGTGATGAAATGTGGAACGCTTTTCCATCATCCCTTGTCAAATGTGGTTTGGAGGCAAACCGGTTTCGGCGTTGTGCCATCTGCAGTGTCATTTTTCGTTCTTATGAATAAGGCCATAAATCTATAAATAACGGTTAAATATGTGGAATACAAAATTAGAGTTCAAAAATAACGATCTTTCTTGATCGAAAAAAAAAATAGAAATCATAATCAGGCAGGTTCTGCAATTCACTTCCGAGTGAATTTCAACCCCTGCAAATATGAATTCAAAGCGAATTCGACTCAAATTCACTCGGAAGTGAATTACAGAACCAGACTAAATATAACGGTTAAATTTGATCGGATAAATAAAAATCAAAAATAATGATAAAAAAGGAATCAAAAAAGTAAAAATTAAAAAGATAATGTTTATCCTTGATCGAAAAAATAAAAATCATAAAATAATGGTTAATCATGAACAGGAAAACCGAAATCACATTTTAATGGTAAAATTATGATTTTTTCGATAAAGATCATAGCAGTTGCGATCCCTGCAAAGTATTCCAACGCTTTTTGAATTTTTTAAGGTTAGAAGTAAATAAAATAAAACTTGATAAAACCATGATAAAAACAAGCATCTATTTTCGAAATTTAGAGCCTTAATAGCCATATAGCTCTTGTCCTCTGAGAAATATGTAAAATTTAGCGAGTAAGTGTTCTCTTGTTGAACTCTTTCCATGAAAAAAAAAAATTTAAGAAACTTCATCATAAAAGCAAAAATGCTGGAAAAAACTTTGCCACCTTTTTCATAATTGATCATAATTAATTATAAGAACGATAAATTTTCTTTCTTTCAAATATGGTAATCCCGGTTGAAATTATTTGTTTAACATTTTCAAAGATCATTTTAACATTCTAATAGTTATTTGTAGCACTATAACCTTGTGGGTTTGGTGAAGCAATTTACAAAAAGTCAATGGTTTCGCCAGTAGTATGGCGGCATTTATTTAAAATACTACTCTGTTCGAATTTTAAAATTATATTGCTGGCAAACGTCAGACCGTCTCTCAATGATTTTACCTTGTAATGTTGTTATCATGGTCAGTAGTATATATGTAAGTACACTGATGTATGACCAAATGTATGTTTTTTAAACTGCGTGCACACATGTACGCGCGTAAACGCATTTTACTGCTCTTAAAAAATTCATAAAGGACATTTTTACGGTTCAACTACTTTAGCGATACTTCATCCTGTTGCCGACAAATTTCATCAGGAGCAACGGCAATCGGACTTATCAAAACGAATGGATGAGTGCGAAAGCAATATGTAAGCCTGCTGTTCTCGTACTTCCTTCGGCTATGCACCAGTTTGCAATGTTGCTTTACCTTTAATTTTCATTTTTAAGCGCAATAATATTACATACATGCATACATGCATTACGTATGATAGGTCCAGAAGTAAAGTGTACCAACTAGCATTCACTTGTCTCGTTGTAAAATTACATGCGTGTATCCTACAAATTAAAATTGTGTAAAAATTACAGCAACCGGTGGAACAATGCATGAAAGGAGGCGGAGGTTACTCAAAACGGAAAGCGTTTTAACACAAGATATTGAGAATAGTCATTCCCATAAACCGTTTAAATTGCTTCGTTTTGAACGTTACATGTTTTCTATTGAAAGGTTTTCTCTTGGGAAATTCCCTATACCTCTTTTCTGTCTTTCTGTGTCTAACCCCTTTCCACTTTCTATTTCCTTCCCTCTAATTTCCCTCTCACGCTATCTCCTTCGCCCTCAGACTCTTTCTCCCTCTATCTCGCTCACATCGTTGCCGAATTGAAGATTTCGACGTACTTTTTACGTTTTTTTTTGCTCATTCACGTTGCGATGAGTTTTTCCCCCCGTAATGATGATTTTTATTTTAGCTTTCCACTTAATAACATATACATATGTGTCTACATAAGTATGTATCTATGTAAAAAATTTGTAAAAGGTAAACATAATCCAAAATACAACCATGCATTTATCTAGTTTTGTTCTACAGCCGCACTTTTTAACTTCACCGTTAATTTGCACTGCTGACACTCATGTGAAAAAGACAGAGAAATAGCAGAGGGAATTTGTTCAGTCAATATTATATCACTCTCTATCTCCCTCACTCTATGTCCCTCACTCTCTCTTCCTCTATCTCCCTCACTCTCTCTCTCTCTATCTCCCTCACTCTCTCTCTCTCTCTCTCTCTCTATCTCCCTCGCTCTCTCTCTCTCTCTCTCTCTCTATCTCCCTCGCTCTCTCTCTCTCTCTCTCTCTCTATCTCCCTCGCTCTCTCTCTCTCTCTCTCTCTCTATCTCCCTCGCTCTCTCTCTCTCTCTCTCTCTCTATCTCCCTCACTCTCTCTCTCTCTATCTCCCTCACTCCCGCTCTCTATTTCCCTCACTCTCTCTCTATCTCCCTCACTCTCTCTCTATCTCCCTCACTCTCTCTCTATCTCCCTCACTCTCGCTCTCTATTTGCCTCACTTTCTCTCTATCTCTATCTCCCTCTCTCTCTCTCTATTTCCCTCACTCTCTCTCTATCTCCGTCACTCTGTCTCTCGTATCTGTCTCTCGTATAAAACATGATTGCACCCAAACTTTTTTGTTGTTGTTGTTGTAGCAGCATACAACCCAGTCGGAAAAGTAGTAATGCATTACATGCGTGATAAATAATAGAATGTATTTCTTATGCGTTCTCGATAATATTACTTCGCTATATAATCAGCATTCTAATGTATTCAAGAAGTTCCAAAAATTTCATATTAGAACACATTCGCTTCTCGATACTAGGTAATGCAAAATTGAATGCCCCATTTTTTTCTGCACATCGCCCTGGGGAAAAAAAATACATTTTCGTATGTGAAAAGGGTTGTTTTACTGATTACTTTTTTCGATTACTATACATTACATTTTCCCACTGGGAAGTTCCCCAAAGAGTATTTGTGGAGTGTTGCTGGAGTGACGGTCCTTGGCCAAATATAAATCTGGGTCGTTCCGGTTACGTAGACCCGACTGTCGTCGGAACGCCCAAACTTTTTTCTCAACATACAGTGTTCAAATAAAACTGGCACGCTCAACTTTTTTCTTTCATATATACATATGTATGTCCTGCAAACCATTTTTTAAGAGTATTCTGACCTCATCCGACTTTTTGCCGAATTTTCTAAAATGAAATGAACTGTGCACACTTCGATTCTTTTACAAGATTTAGGAGAAAAATCGCTAAAGCAATAAATAACGTAGCAACGTGAAGAATTTCTTGCAGTATTTTTCATAATTTTCTTTCTTTTTCGTACAGAAATTTCTTTACGATTCGTGTCAACCACTCCGTATTATTTGCTTTGAAGATTCGTAAAAAAAATTAATACAGAAATGAGATACTCCTAAAGATTTCGGGAACTTTGGTTTGCAGGGTAGTCATACGGCTTAATGCTTACACTCTATTTTTTTAATCTCTTCCTATCTACGAATCATCTGCAACTCATTTCTTTCTAAGAAACCTCCGATCGATATCCTTGTAGAGTACCTTTTTTATTAAGTATTAATTTTCATTTACTTTTTGAGGAATGCAGTTTATTAATATTTGTTTCGATTACAAAATAAATTGGTTGCAGTTACAAACGCAAATAAGTATGTAGATTTACTGACACTTAATACATATACATAATTAACTGAATTTTGAATAATGCAACTTAAGAACTTTCTAAGTTGAATAAAATGATTTGACACTTTAATGTAGGCATTTGTGTATATATTGCTAACGCAACGATAATTCTTCGTAAAATTATCAAGAAATTTTAAGGTATATATAAAATGTATATGTAAATTACTGAATATTGAATAATCAAAATTGATTCCTTTTTATGCCGCTTAAAACGATTTGACATTATAATGTATACATACATATATTTCTAACTCAACAATAATTTTTCGCAAAACTATCGAGAGATCTTAATTTATGTATAAAATGTATATGTATATGTATAATCAATTTAAATTTTACGCATTATGTGATTTTTCTTAACGTTTACAATTTATGATTAACAAGCGTTGTTCTGCAATACAATTTTTAAGATCTTTT